CTTTCTATTCTGTTCCATTGATCTATATTTCTGTCTTTGTGCCAGTACCATACTGTCTTGATGACTGTGGCTTTGTAGTAGAGTCTGAAGTCAGGCAGATTGATTCCTCCAGTTCCATTCTTCTTTCTCAGGATTACTTTGGCTATTCGAGGTTTTTTGTATTTCCATACAAATTGTGAAATTATTTGTTCTAGTTCTGGTACAGGATTCAATGAAATAAAATTTATATGTGACCTGTGGAGGACGTTCATCTGAGTGCCTTCTTGATGTAGGGCAGCACAGAGGATCCATAAGACATAGTCCATGTACCAAAGGGATCTTTAATAGGGTGGGAACACCAGAGATTTGATGTCACGTCTCAAGAACTCCAATATAGTATTGATTCATTGACCCTTGCCAAGAAGTTGAATTCTTATATTGTGCATTAGCTTATTTTGCCAGTAAACTCTTCTCACTTTGGTTTAAAAACCCATAGAATATGGGTTATCATGCCCATTGAGGGAATTTAAAACAAGATAAAATATCTAGTTTTGAAAATTAGCATTTGTGTAGTGATTTCCTCATTTAATCCTGTGAACTAGGTATTACCTCAGTTTTAGAGAGGATATGAAAGTGTAACAACACCAAGGTCATAAGAAAATCTAAATATATTTCCTGTTCTTACTGACGCTGGTCCTCTGATTACAAGTCCTGTGTCCTTTACAAATGTGCACTCTCCTCTCTCCCCTCTTTTGTTAATGGTTGGAGACGTCCTGTTTCTTAGTCGACTTAAAGGAGGTGAGTTAGATTTTAGCTCTTCAGGAAGAAAAATCCTCTGGCACGTCCTTTCAAAATGTGAATTCGTTGCCCTGTCCTGTGAATTCAAGTGCTGTCATTAATATTTTATCTTTATCACAGTTTTTTCTCTTTACAGAGTTCTGGAGTCTAAAAATTCTTTGCTAGTAAATATATAATGTGTTCAAGATAATATTTATGTAGTATATATGTGAATATAAAGAATAGTATAAAACAACTCTAACTGCTGCCCATTCTAATATATAGAAATAACCTTTTCGGAGAGGGAGGTGGGAGGGGAGATCGGGATGGGGAATACATGGTGATTCAAGTCAATGTATGACAAAACCACTACAATATTGTAAAGTAATTAGCCTCCAACTAATAAAAATAAATGAAAAAAATAAAAATAAATGAAAGAAAAAAGAAACCAACAGATTAAAAAAAAAAGAAATAACCTATGCCTTCCGAATCTGCCTACACTCCCCCCGCAACAGGTAACAAGAATATTGAATTTTGCATTTTTCCACGGTGTCTTATTTCATTTAGCAATTAAAATTTTTTAAATATTGTGGGTAAATTTCATCTTGTTTGACATAACTGTTAACATAAATGGCTCTTTAAAATTCTGTTTTTATTTATTTATTTATGTTGAAGTAAAGATACTTTTGTTAATAATAAGGCAGTTATTTAAAAAGCAGTTTGATGTAGAGTAGTCAGAAGTAGAAATAAAATGTTGTACACATGAACTTAATCTAATGTTGTAAACCAGTATTACTTCAATAAAATATAAACATTCAGTAGAAATTTGAAAAAGAAAAGGTGTATCTTTCTTATCTTTCTTTGTATACGAAACAATACACAGCAAATGTGACCCCACCGCTGCCAAAGTTTGTTAAATAAATTCAAGCATCTGTGTGCTGGATGGAATACATAATAGCTGGAAAGCAAAAAAAAGAAGCAGCTTGATTTTGAAGCTGGAAGTTAGGAATATTTATTAGTTTCAGAAGTTTCAAAGATCAGGGAAAAGGGTCTGTTAAGGAAGCGGAAAAGGATTTTGTGTTCGCTGGAGTAGTTTTTCTTTTGCTTTACTAGAGAAAGGAGAACAAAGGGGGTAGGATTGGAAAACTTGCCCTTTCTTAAATTGCTCTTGGCAGATTGGTACTGCCGGTGAGTAGCCTAAGAGTGAATAAAATATGGCTTAAAGTTTTCTGACAGCAGGTATTCACCATGGTTTTGAGTGGTGACGACTACTTCATAGGTCATTTCCTATATCTTGTGATTTTCCTTTTTGCTGAGCCACTGAAACCTGTAATCTGGTTCACCAAGTATGATGCCAATTTCCGTTTTCTTGGTAGAGTGTCTGTGTGGTCTTTCATCTTTTAGGAACTGTAATTCTCATAGTTCCTTGTTTCATATGGATGAGGAGAGTTCTGAGCAATGCTTGCCATACAGTTTGGGTCTGAGGCGGTCATAAATGTGCGTACACATGCATATGCGTAATCATGACATGTATAGAAATGCCTTACTGTGTTTTCCTTGGTGATCACTGCTTGAGCGGAGTATTTGAGTGGTGGGTGTCTGGGCTTAGGAGCTGGACTCCCCAGATTGACATCCTGAATCGCCTCTAGCTAGCCCTGTAGCCTTGGGTTTTCCTTAACCTCTTTGTGATGGTTTCTTTATAAAATGGAGTTAATAAAGCATCTATAATAATAATAATAATAATAAGTAAATAAAAAATAATAAAGCATAATAATAAAGTTATTAAGTGATTGGGAGGATTAAATAGGTCTGTGCATAGAAAGTACTTACAGCCAGATTAAGTGCTCCATGAATGTCGGCTGCTATTTAAATCTTGCAGGTAGGGCCTTTTGTTTCAAAACATACTTATTTGCTTGGATTACCATTTGTGTGTGGGGGAGATGTTCTTTCTGGAACCATGTCTCCTTGTCACATGATTATGTGCTGTGAGCCTTATTAATCCTCTGTCAGCATTTGAGGTTGGAACATAAGTGTGGCCATACCCTGTGGAATCCAGTGAGAGAGAACTAGGCACCGTAGCAACTGTTGCTATTTGTGTCCCAAGCAGCAGCTGCCCGTGGGACAGATTTATTTTTTAATCCTGATCTCACTGATAGCTTGGGATGTGGCCCTGCCTTAGAGAAGTGGGTTGGTTGAGATGCCTGGTCTTTGAGGCGACTTCATGGCCACATGTTACAAAGATTCTATTCCATGTGAAATATGAAGTACTAAAGCTTTGTGTATGTGAGGGAGCAAGGGAGGCCAAGCCTCAGTATTCAGTCTGGTCCCTGAAGTATGTGACTGGATTAATTACACAAGAAATCACTTTTGATGTAAATAGTGATTTCAGAAATAAAACTATCCTTCCAATGAACGCTTCCTTACTAAATGCTTTTCTTAAATAGATAATAAGATCTTTAAAAAGAGTTTGTTTCAAGCAGTGGTTGGATTAATTCAGTAATTTTTCTACATTTTATTTTTAATGTGTTGATATATTTCAAGCCTTAATGAAGTACCTTGAAATGGTCGCATGGCCCATTTCCAGATTTTTTTTCTTCGAACTTACCTAGATTCAGTCACAGAATATTTACTGAATACCTATTATATACCAAGCTCTCTTGTAAATCCTGGTGACATCTTGTAACTGTTGTTGGTCTGACCCTATCTATTAAAATGTGATTGATTTTATTTTTCAGTTGCCCTATTGAGATTCAGTTGTATGAGTTTACTGGTTTGAATGTTTTGAGCTTACCGCATAATATCATGTTGTACTAACATTTAATTGAGTGACTTATAAAATCAAAACATTTTCCTCCTGCAGGTATTATTAACCCAAAGAACCCAAAGGAAGCTCCAAAGTCTTTCAGCTTTGACTACTCCTACTGGTCTCACACCTCGGTGAGTGTACCCATGGTGCAGTGCAGTAGAACATTGTGGGTTTGAAATGGTTTGAAAGAGCCTGCAAGTCCACAGGGAAAGCAGAGATTACCAACATCTAGGCAAATGAAGAGTAGGACCTTTTGCAGTGTGCTTTTACTTATTACAGGACCCTAAATCTTGCTGGCTTCTAGTGATTGTTCCTAGAGTTTGCTTCTGCATCTCTATTATACATTTTTTGTTTTTTGTTTTTCCTGTTTTGCATTAGACTAGGAGATGTTTTAAACTACTGCAAAGCCTAATTGCCAAGGGAAGAGTCTGTGAAAGGGACTGGAAAACATTCTCCAGAAGCTGTGTTTATTGAGAAATAACCACACTACCTGGAACGAGTTCAAAGAATTTTTTGTTGTTGTTGTTGCATGTGGGATGCATTTGTTGCAATTTGTTGCATTTGGCATGTGGGCTTTCCCCACCCAGGGATCCAACCCGTGTTCCCCTGCATTGGGAACACAGTCTTTATCTACTGGACTGCCAGGGAAGTCCACAAAGAAGTATTTTTATATGTGGACTTGATGTTTGATTTTCTAGTCATGTTTCCCACTTAAGAAAATTTTCTTGGAGCTCCCTATGAATAGAAGAGTGACACTTTCATGGTTATGGCAAATGAAATGTAATCATGTCAGATAATTTCATGTAGATATTTTTATGTATGGGTGGTCTGAATGTCTCTAATAGTAGCTGTGTGTGTTTAATGAGAAAAATAAACTATATATAGGGGGCACTATTCTAATTTGAAACACTTGTTTATTATAGAAGTAATTAATAAGCATAGGAAAAAGTATGAATAAATGCCATTTACTTTTCCTTTTAATCTTTACAGCCTGAAGATCCCTGTTTTGCATCTCAAAACCGTGTATACAATGATATTGGAAAGGAAATGCTCTTACATGCCTTTGAGGGATATAATGTCTGTATTTTTGCCTATGGGCAGACTGGTGCTGGAAAGTCTTATACAATGATGGGTAAACAAGAAGAAAGTCAGGCTGGCATCATTCCACAGGTAAAAAACACAGCAACAAAAAACTTCTATTCATTATTACTCTTAGTCCTTAACTACTTTAACAGTTTTTATTTAGCAAAAATTTATTCAGGGACTATTGTATGCAGGGCACAAATGTAAATCACCTGTCCCTTTCCTTCAGAGGAGCTCACAGCCTGATGGAAAAGACTGATATTTGTTCAGAGTCTATCTTTATATCCAATATCATGTTGCTTTATCTTTTGAACAATGTTATCAGCTTCTTTTAAATGTGATGGTAGGTGCCACGTTCTGTTCTGAATCCTAGGAACACCTAGTGAGTGTTGTTAGTCTGATATTTTTCCCCAGTTCATGTTTCTTAACATTATGAGCACCCAGATCACTTCTTAAGAGTATGATTATTTTTGTTTTTTGATTGCCTTCTCTTTTATGTTATTAAATTAACACTATCACTTAAACTTTGAGCAGTCTGAGAATTTTTAAGAGCAGTTAGTCTTGATTTTGTATTTTGTTTGGGAATTGAGAAAAGTTGTTACATAGGTATATTTAGAAAGAACTTCTTTTGTTAATAACAGGAACATGGTTTGCTTTTATTAGTGATATTTGGGGTTAATTTTAAAATGTCCTTTTACTGTAGGCCTAGTGCGGCCATTGCTGTATTCTGAAAATAAAATACATAAGGAGAAATAGCTACTTTTTTGAAAGGATTATTGGATTTATACTTTTAAATTCAGCTATATAATTGAAATTATTAAAAAAGATTAGAACATTTTCAGAAAAAATAGAAGATACTAGCATACTTTTTTCTGTAAAAAGTATATATGTCTGAATTAATACATGTCCTTTATGTATAGTAACGGTAATAATTATAATACTAGTTAGAGAAAACATTATGAGCATTCATCACGTGCCTGGCACAGGTCTAAGTTCTTTACAATTCTTAGCTCATCTTATCCTCTTCATGTGACCCTGAGAGGTCGGTGCTCTTGTTTCCCTCATTTACAGATGAGGGAACTGAGGCACGGAGAGAACATGTCACCTGCGCACGTACGTGGCAGATCCAGGATCCACGAGGAGGCAGGGTAGTTCTGGAGTCTGCTTTTACTGCTATGTAGTAACTTCTTCAGCAGTAAAATAATCATTTGTAGATTACAGCAAGTAACATGAGTCATTATTTTATCCCATTACCACACTTAGTTTCTCCTTCTTTTGCTTAATTTGTTTGTTATTGTAATTCTTGCATGGTTACATATGTATCTCTTTTCCTGATAAAATTTTGGAATATTTTAATGCCAAAGCATGAATTTTTAAAAAGATTGTTAAGTTCTAGAAACTGACACTTGTAATACATTTTAAGTTCTATTTGAACTTCTAGAGAATCATGAACATATAGCTCATTTTTCAAAGGTATGTTGCTTGCTTTAATATGAAGCATATAGCAAATGAAAATTCAGTGGATTTTTATTAATTATTCTTATTTAAAGCATCACATATTTTAAGTAAATTAAAGGATAGGGAGACTAAAATTTATAATTTTCCTGATCTAGAAAAATTAATGTATTCCACCAGAAATGTCACTGTGTAATGGACTGGCCTCTCATGAGGGGTTGGAATCTTAAGGCAGAGGTAAAGGGGAGAAATTATAGTCAAAACTCTTCTTGAAAATGCCTTCATTTACATCCTTCAAATAGTGTGTGTTTTCCCTATACATATATGTATGTATGTATAAATTTACAATGTATATAGTAACTGATAACATATAATAAAATTCATATATCATGATAAGTAAGTGTGGAAAATAGTTTAATAGTAGTTTTACTTCTACAGTTATAATACCCATGGTAGATTTACAGTTAATTCTAGTATGATATGAAGAGTTGAATTCCCGTGAAGTGAAATCAATGACATAACAATAGAAGTGACAATTCTCTTCACCTAAATGTGACTTACTTTCTAAGGAAACGTTGAGATGATATTGTTCAGGGAAAATAGAGATTAGCTGAGAGGAATGTATTCGAAACTTTGCTTTTATTTCATTCAAAGCATTTACCCTTGATGTTGATGCCATTAACATTTTGAAAAAGAGAAAAAGAATCTTGCTAATTCCTTTAGCACTCATGGGTAAGTTCTGACTTATGCCTCTCGTTCTGCTTCTACAGTTATGTGAAGAGCTGTTTGAGAAAATCAATGACAACTGTAATGAAGAAATGTCTTACTCCGTAGAGGTGTGTACAGCTGTGGGTTAAAAATAGTCCTTGGTGCTCCATTCCCTCAGATGCTACTTTTAAATAGTTCTAAATTATGACAGAGCTATAGATCACTTAACTATTTCCCCACTTCTGTACTTTGAGGCTATTTCTAAAATTATGGTTAATGTGAAGAATGCTGCAATTAAATCTTTGTTCGAAAGTCTGTGGCTTATTGTATAGTTTAAATTCAAAAGGTAGGGAGCAGGACAGTGTGATTGAAATTTTTGAGCTTATAGGTAGTAGAAGAGGATGCCATTTTCTTTCATATTATGCAGGGTTCACAGGCCTTTTTGGAGCATAGTGTGGATCCCTAGTTGGTATTTTGTTTTTCTTTACATTGGTGGTACCTCTGCCCCCTCTCCTGTTTCTCCCCCTTGTTCACTCTGCTTCAGCCATTTCTGGGACACACTAGGAGCATTTCTGCCTCAGTGCTTTGTCACTTACATTTCTTTTGGCCGGAAATTTTCTTTCCAGGGTATCTTTTTGACTAAGTTTTAACACTAATAGAAGTCTTATTTTCAAGCTTTTGGAGTAATTGTAATCCTCACTTATTGACAACATCATACATTAGAAATAAAGCCCCGTGAATAACTGATATGTTGTTGTTTAGTCACTAAGTTTTGTCTGACTCTTTTGTGACCCCATAGACCCCATGGACCCCATGGACTCTTTTGTAGCCCACCAGTCTCCTCTGTTCCTGCGATCTCCCAGGCAAGAATATTGGAGTGGGTTGCCATTTCCTTCTCCAGGGGATCTTCCTGACCCAGGGATCAAACCTGCGTCTCCTGCATTGGCAGGTGGATTCTTTACCACTGAGCCACCCGGGAAGCCCTAATAACTGACTGCTAAAAGGGCTTTGCAAGTAGTACTAGTGGTAAAGAATCCGCCTGCCAGTGCAGGAGATGCAAGAGACACAGGTCAGTCCCTGAGTTGGGAAGATCCTTTACCACCAGTACTCAGTTATATCTGTGCTACTCATAAGAGAATAAAAGGGACTGGAACTATGGCATTTCACATTGTAAAGGCTGTTGATCTCGAATTGTAGAGCTTTTAATAAAAGATGCAAAGATAAAAAGATTTAAATTTTTAATGTATATGATTTCTTTTTCCAAGTCCTCTAAATCACTTCAATAACATATTCCTAGGTGAGCTACATGGAAATTTACTGTGAAAGAGTACGAGACTTGCTGAATCCCAAAAACAAGGGTCATCTGCGTGTGCGTGAACATCCCCTTCTTGGCCCTTATGTGGAGGACCTGTCAAAGTTGGCAGTCACTTCCTACACAGACATTGCTGACCTCATGGATGCTGGGAACAAAGCCAGGTATGGGAGGAAACAGACTCATGATCGAGGTTTCTGATATGTTTTGAGCCCCTTAGTTCCTGGTTAGGGGTTTGAGACCACATTTATAGCTGTGGAAGTTGCTTTTACTGTGGAGTGCTCTGATCCTTTGGCTGTCCTTGAGAAACAGTGGTCTCAGCATATTTGGTGTTCTTATCCAGACAGCACACTGCTGAACCACATCAGAACTTTGGTTAAGTTCTGCTGTTAGGTTTTGATCAAGTCATGGTAAAATGTTGGTCATCACTTGCCTATGGTAGTAATTGATTCTGGAATATTCGAGCACCTAATGAACAATAAAAATCAGATAGTGCTTTGTAAAGGTAGAGCTGGAGTATGAAAAATGATTCTGATGGTGTGCCTTTGAAGTTGGAGGTAGCTTGATAGGATCACAAAGTGTAATCAGAGCAGTTTTGTGAAAGGGGCAGTCTTGTAATATGAAGAAGTTTAAAGCTGTTGCTTGTGATTGTTATGCTTATAATTTGGAGGCTGCTGTCATTTTAACATTCATCTAAGGATTCCATTATCACGTGATCACCTTTATATTTTTTAGGACAGTGGCAGCTACCAACATGAATGAAACAAGTAGCCGTTCCCATGCTGTGTTTACCATTGTCTTCACCCAGAAGAAACATGATACTGAGACCAACCTTTCCACTGAGAAGGTAGGAGAACTTCAGTGTCTGGGCTTGAGTTGTGTGGAATGAAGGTTTTCGGAAGCCCCTCCTTGCTACCTTTGGATTCTGTGGAAGGGAGGAAAGTGCCCTTTTACTTAATGGAGGATATCTTATACTTTATGCTTGTCATTTATATTCCACTCTATATCAGTTCTGAGTATGGGTTTTTAAGTGAAATTGCAAGGTAGAAAATAAGAAACAAACCAAGACACTTGAGTCTCAAAAAGTACTCCACACAAGAGGGTTAAGCAGTTCTGTGGGGAAGATAATTCTTCCTTTGTTTCTTGATTGGAACCTCTCAATTACCTTACTAACATCTTTGGTATATGTATTTTACTTTTTTGAGCTCTGATAATATTACTGTGGAATTAAACTGTTTAAGCAAACAAGATGTGTTTTATTTTTTGGGATAAAAATAACTGCACAGCATTTTTGGTGTTCTTCAAGTGCCAGTGCTTGTTAATTTCTCATTTTCTATAGTGGTTGGCTAAATATAGTACATTAGAATTAAATTGCTTGCTTTAGATCTTGACTATTCCATTTTTCAGCAGTGTTATGTTGGGCAAGTCATTTAAACTCTTTGCGCCTCAGTTTCTCTAACTTCATAGGATTGGTAGAGGAGTAAGTATTAATATAGGTTAAGTGCATGTATCTAATGCCTGGCACAGCATAGCCATTTAATAAATGTTAATTTTATTGGCATTACTATTAATAATAAACTTATGTTGTATCCTACTCTGCCTACCTTTCCTAAGTAGCATGCAGCTGGATTTTTAAATCTGAAGTTAGTTATTATACTGGCTCTTATGAAAGATCTCGCCTGAGAACTTTGTGATGCCAATATCATTAAAAACTAAAATCACCTTTTACTTAATGACTTGTTTGTTTTTAGCTGAAGATTATTTTTTTAAAATATACTCTTCATATAAGTAATCAAATAGCTTGACACTGCTTAGCCAGAGGTTCTGTATTAATGTAATTTAGTAGTATTTGTCTGAATGGCACCAAGGAACATCCTATGTGAAAGCATTTTTTTCTTTTCTTCCATGATGTCAGCTCTACAACAGTAATGATATTAACCCCATAACCATAGCTTCCTTGACAATCCATTTTGGATACTTTCCTGAAGCATTTAAAAAAAAATAACTTTATTGAGGTATTATTGAAGTACAATAAACCACACATATTTGGAGTATAAAACTGGATCAAATATGTATATAGTAAACCCCCCCTCCGCCATCTGCAGGGGATACTTTCCACGACCCTCAGTGGATGCCAGCAACTGCAGATAATATCAAAACCCTTATATATATATATTTTTTTCTCATACGTGTATACCTGTGATAAAGTTTAATTTATAAATTAGGGACATTAAGAGATTAACAGAGCAATAATAAAAAAAGGACAATTATAACAATATACTGTGATATTGATATATAAATGTTGTCTCTCTCACTCTCAGAATATCTTTTTGTACAAGCTTAGTGCCTTTTCCCTCTTAATGAAGCAGTTATCACACACTGTGGGCGTAACTTTTGCAGCCTGAAGTTCAGCAGTGAAAATTAACAGGAATTTATTTTTCTCTCTTTACAATTTCATGAATAGAAGATTCATTGCTACTGTAGATAGTAGCAATCTCAGCATACACTTAAGAGAAGCTCTGTATTTATATGTCAGAGGCTTCTCTTTGACATACCTGAATTATCAGTGTTACTGCTTTTGTGTTTTGGGGCCATTATTAAATAAAATAAGGGTCACTTGAACACCAGAACTGTGATACCCCAAGAGCTAATCTGGTAACTGCGACGGCTACTAAGGTACTGATTAGTGGGATATGCTGGATTATGGGGTGATTATGTCCCAGGCATGGACAGGGATGGAGTGAGATTTCTTCATGCTACTTAAGATGGCACACAACTTAAAACCTATGAATTGTTTGTTTTTGGAATTTTCCATGTAATACTTACCAAAGATCTGCTAGAGAAGGGATAGGCTACCCACTCCAGTATTGTTGGGCTTCCCTTGTGGCTCATCTGGTAAAGAATCTGCCTGCAATAAGGGAGACCTGGGTTCGATCCCTGGGTTGGAAAGATCCCCTGGAGAAGGGAAAGGCTACCCATTCCAGTATTCTGATCTGGAGAATTCCATGGACTATATAATCCACCGGGTAGCAAAGAGTCGGACACGACTGAGTGACTTTAACATAGTTGACCATGGATAACTGAAACCATGGGAAGTGAAATGAGATATAAGGATGGGGCCACTATACATCAGTAAAACCGGTACCACAGTTCAGATAATGAGAATTTCTGTTACCCTAAAGAGTTGCCTCATGTTCCTTTGTAATCTCTTCCACCCTCATCCTCAGGCCATCTCTGATTGGTTTTTTTGTCACTATAGATTAGTTTACACTTTCCAGAGTTTTGTGTAAATAGAATTATATGGTATGTATTATTTTCAGCCTGGCTTCTTTCAACTTAGCATAATGGTTTTGAGATTCATTCGTGTTGTTCAATAACACGTGTTGTTCAATCCGTGTTATATCAATAGTTCACTCATTTCCATGACTGATTAATATTCCATTGTGTAGATATCTCACAGTTTGCTCATTAATTCATCTGTTGATGGGCATCTAAATTGTTTCCAGTTTTTGATCATTACAAATGAAGATGTCATAAACATTTGTGTACATGAAGGTCTGTGTGTGTGTGTGCTTGTTTTTTGTTTTTCTTGATAAATATCTAGGAGTAGGGTGGTTGAATCTTACGGTTAGTTTTTGTTCAGATTCTTAAGAATCTGCCAAACTGCTTTCAAAAGCGATCATATCATTTTGCATTCCCATCAACAGTGTGAGAATTTCAGTTGCTAAAGCTTTGTTTTTAATATGTCACTTAATGGGTTAATGAGTTTTATATGTTTTTATGATGTAGCATTTTAAGATGTGTTTATTCTGAAATTACTTCTTTTAAACCAAGATAATTGCTGTGAACTCTTTTTGCATGCTGTTTAAATTGACTGCCATATATTTGTCTTCCTATGCCACATATGAGGCCTAATTAATCTTTTTAGTGTTCTCTATGCCTTAATCTTTTAATTTCTTGCCTCTAAATGTTTTCTGCTTCTCCCTTGCTTATTTTTTAATTGCCTCAATGCTCTTTACCAGGTCAGTAAAATCAGCTTGGTGGATCTAGCAGGAAGTGAACGAGCTGATTCAACTGGTGCCAAAGGGACTCGATTAAAGGTATTTATTTTACCAAGTAAATAGCCTAGTCAATAAATACTCTATGACACAGGTTAGCAAGCTGTGGCCAGTAGGACAAATCCAGCCCACTGCCTGTTTTCGTAGATAAAATTTTCTTGGGACACAGCTGCATCTATTCACGTATTATCTGTGGCTGCTTTCATGCTACAGGGATAGGACTGAGAAGTTGCAGCAGAGGCCGCGTGGCCCACAAAACCACTGACAGAAGAAGTTTTCTGCCTTCTGACTTGTAACTCCAATGCAAGATATGTAACATGATAATAGTTAAGGAGGACTTCATAGTCAGGGTGAAAATTGAATTGTATTTTGAGGAATGGTTTGAATTTGGTTAGATGGAAGTAAGGGACAATAATTAGAAAACGACACACAAATCCAGATGTGAGAACAAGCATGGTCTTTTCTAGAGATTTGCTTAACAAGAGGAGAAATTGCACGTCAGTGAGTTGTGGGAAGAAGGCTGCATCTGGGAGTTTTTTAAGCATAGACATCGTAATGATAATTTAGGACTGTGAGTTAGGCATGTGGTCTTGGCCTGTCAGCAAGTGGAGAGGAGGAGAGATTGAGGGTTAAAGAAGATTTTTAGAACTTGTGGTCATAAATAAAAAATAATGCTAGCATATGGCTAGTTGTATTTTATGTATTATGTATGATGTGGCAATAGTAGAAATTCTTTATCATAATTCTTTTATGTTTGATATTGATTTCAGGAAGGAGCAAATATTAATAAGTCTCTTACAACTCTGGGTAAAGTCATTTCAGCCTTGGCAGAGGTGGTAAGTGTTATACTTCATTGTAAGGGAAAGTTTGTCTACTCAGCAAATGTACTTGACTAATATTTTATGATTGCTCATAAAGGGTATTCTCTTTTTTCCTTTTATATAATGTCTTTCTCTTTTTAGAGCTTTTCAGATAAGATAGTAGGTATGGCACACTTTGACTTTGTACTGAAAATAAAAGTGATTAAGGAGAATGAAAGTAAATGTAGATCTGTAAAGGCTAGAATTAAACTAGGTCTTTGCAAAGACCTAAGGTTTGACTGAGCCTTATTTTTGTAGCTCTTGTAAAAGGAAGTATATTTATTGCATATTATTTTCTATGTAATCTTTTCTAAGTAGGTGACTGTACATTTTGGAGTATTTTGAGCAGTTTGCCTTGGTGAATGCTGTTGATTTGTGGGCCAATAAACTATTTTTAAAGTAGTTTTATTTTTTCCTATTTCTTAGAATTAAAACAAAACACCTTATACAAAAGGGGCTTCGTTATTTAGGTTAGAAGCTAAGGAAGTGCTGGTTATTTTATGCTCTAGTTTAGTACCTCATTGGAATCTCTAAACAGGATTAAATGTTTTCTTGCTTGTCTCTGAGAAGTGATATTCAATTTATGACTTAAAAAGTTTTTTTAATGACTTAAAATATTTTCTGTTTGGAGGCTTATCCTGTGTTCTCATTCTCTTTTAAATGCTTTTCCCTGTAGGATAACTGCACCAGCAAGGTATGGTGGGGCTTGGTAGAAATGATCTAGCTGTATAATCAGTTGCTGATTTTAAATCCTCAGCAGGATGCTTGGAGGCATAAGTAGGAATGGAAACTTCAAGAAGCATTATATTTGTTTTCTAGCTCTGGAATTTAGAATTGCTATTTAGGGTGACCATGAATCATGAGACAGCACACCAATACAAAGAGGTTTAAGAAAAATGTAGCTATCATTTCAAGAAGCCAGCTATGTTTTAGAGTGCTGCCCATAAAAAATTTATTTTATTGCTCTTAGGAGGCATATAGGTGACTGCCATATAGGTTTTCTACCATGAAAAGTCATGGATTATTTAAATTATTAAATTTTTTCCTTATTCTTTGGTTATACATAAATTGAAGGCTCTTAAGATCAAATTAAATTTCTGTTTTTAACTGTTAAATGTTTCCAGAAAACATTGTTTGCATTCTTATTAATCCAGATAACAGTAGATTTTTCTTTTCCTTATATTTCTACACATATATTCTAAAATTTATTAATACTCTTTGCATAAATAAAAGGGCACTTAATAGTTTGATCTGCATCACAAGGGTATCATGGAGGATAGAGGCAGTGTCTGCTTTGAAATATTTTTAAATATATAGATTTGCATATTCTCTTGTTCTATAAAAATATTTTTAAAAGTGCTGGTTTTCTGGGTTTTTGCTTTTTGTTTTGTTCTGTTCATTGGACAGAGCTGCCTGAGACTAAAACATCTCTCTGCTATTTGATATAATACATATGTGGATATTCTTCCAATATCTAATCTAGGTCCTAGAACAATGAAGACTTAAAATTTAGTGATTATTCTAACTTGTCCTGTCTATTTGCTCATCTGTTTACATCTGTATCAACCAGAGGAAAAGTTTACAAAGTATTTTTCCATGTATTTCCCATACTGATGTATGTCACATAATTTTGCAAATGATCTTTTATAATCTGTTTTATACAACCCAGTTTAGTACTGTGTGTCTGTGTCATAAACTGTAACAGGTCAGAAATAAATGTTAATTTTTATATAACAAGCATGATTTTTGGTGAATTAAGATGTATCATTATTTTCACTGTGAAGAGAAACAGGATTATTTCCATGCATACTTAAATAGTATTTTTTAGTGAGGTTAGTGATCTAAGTAAAGCTTGTTATGTAGCTGCTGAAACACTTATTTTTTTAAAAAATTGTGGGTGTGAGAACAGGAGATTAATTTGTATGAGAGCAAGCAGAGAAGAAATGGCTAAAGTTCTGGTATATTTTTAAATGGAAAAGATTGAAGTTCTATTTATACTTCTTCATTTAGCTATTCCTTAGTTTAGCCTAATTGACAGAAATGAATATGGAACATTTTAGAATCTGACACTGCTTACTTATTTTTACAGTTCTGTTGGCAGTCACTGTAATTGGCATACTTTAAATCTTGCAGCATTTTCAGTACTAAGGATAGGCAAAGTGAAGTGTTTAGATGCAGTGGGGAATGGAGAGGATAAACTGGGGTTTCAGGCCCCACGAATTTCATGTGGAATGAAAGTCCCACTCAACTATGAATGACTGAGAGGATTAATTCTCCCTAAAGATCTGTGTAACTTAGAAATACAACCTGCTATGGGAAATGATGTCCTCATAGGTGAATGTGTCTGTGGGTGGAGCAGGATGAGATGTTGTTGTTCAGTCACTAAGATGACTTAGCCTGACTCTTTGCGACCCCATGGACTGCAGCATGCCAGGCTTCTGCCTGTCCTTCACTATCTCTGGGAGTTTGCTCAAGTTCATGTCCATTGAGTCGGTGATGCTATTCAGCCATCTCAAGATGTAGGGGACATGTTTGATGAGATGGAATTCAAGTACCAACTTGCCTACTTCCTTTCCTTCTCAACAAATCAGAAGTCAGCTATTTAGTACTCTTTTTCTGAATACCCAGGATTTAGCAAGAAGAAGATCATGCTCAATAACCTCAGATATACAGATGTACCACCCTTATGGCAGAAAGTGAAGAGGAACTGAAGAGCCTCTTGATGAAAGTGAAAGAGGAGAGTGAAAAAGCTGGCTTAAAACTAAACATTCAAAAAACAAAGATCATGGCATCTGGTCCCATCACTTCATGGCAAATAGATGGGGAAACAGTGACAGACTTTATTTTCTTGAGCTCCAAAATCACTGCAGATGGTGACTGCAGCCATGAAATTAAAAGATGCTTGCTCCTTGGAAGAAAAGCCATGACAAACCTAGAAAGCATATTAAAAAACAGAGACGTTTCTTTGCTGACACAGGTCCATCTAGTCAAAGCTATGGTTTTCCTAGTAGTCACGTATGGCTGTGAGAGTTGGACTATAAAGAAAGCTGAGTGCCAGAGAATTGATGCTTTTGAACTGTGGTGTTGGAGAAGACTCTTGAGAGTCCCTTGGACTGCAAGGATATCAAACCAGTCCATCCTAAAGGAAATCAGTCCTGAATATTCATTGGAGGGACTGATGCTGCAGCTCTAGTACTTTGGGCACCTGATGTGAAGAATGGACTCATTGGAAAAGACCATGATGCTGGGAAAGATTGAAGGCAGGAGGAGAAGGGAACGACAGAGAATGAGATGGTTGGATGGCATTACTGACTCAACGGACATGAGTTTGAGCAAGCTCTGGAAGTTGGTGATGGACGGGGAATCCTGGCATGCTGCAGTCCATGGTGTCACAAACAGTTGGACACGACTTAGCGACTGAACTGGACTGAGGTCATCCTTAGTTTAATATGACCTCAGATTATGCTAGGAATAGGTTATAAAACTTCCTCTTACTGGGGAGATGCCTATCAGTGAAACCTGGCTTTCCCCTTAGTAACTTCTTTAATTATCACCACACAGTAGTCAGCCAGCAGATATTGGAGTAGCCAAAGCATTTGCCTTGTGTTTTACTTTCAGAGGGTATAATTTCCTTCATCTCAACACTGGTTTTGCATTGGTGTCTTTTGCTTTATCCTGTGATAATGAGATGGGCCACGGAGAGAGCAGTACAAGGAAATTTTGATAAATATAGAAACTTTATCTTGCAGTCTCTCTAAATCTCCTGATCAGCAAATTGTATTGCTTTCTTAACCTTTTCACTTTGACTCCTAATTCTAATGGTCAGATTTATTTTTGACATAATTTCCTTTTAAAGAAACCTAATGTGTATTACAGTGTAAGAGTTAACGAGATATGCAGTAACCACCTTGATGATTTGGTGGTTGACCAGATAAATTTATTAATTAAATGAGTTGCTCCTACACATCCAACCTGGAATGCACAAGATTCATATTTACCCCTCTGCAAAAGTAAAAATTATTATCTGAGGTTTGCTATTATATGATATTAAAAAAATCATTGTTAATTTTGTTACGTGTGAGAGTGGTCTTATAGTTACTTTTTTATAAAGTCTTTCTCTGTTAGAGATATGTACCTGAAGTATTTTTAGGTGAAATGTGGATTTGCTTCAGAGCCCTACACAAACTATAAATGACAGGATATTAGATAGTAGTGTTATATTGGTGTTAAATTTCCTGACTTTGGTCATTGAACTGTGGCTGTGTAAGAGAATGTCCTTATATGCTGAAGTGTTTAGGGATTTAAAAGGGCATAGGGGACGACATCCTCATGGACCTCATCTGAACCCCGACACCCAATAAAGTTCCTTTTAACACACACACACAAAAAAAAAGGGCATAGGGTCTGCAGTTTCCTCCAGAATGGTTCAGAAAGAAAAAAATGTAGGAAAGACTTTGAGTGAAATTGAAATGTGATTGGTGAAATATTGATAATGGTCAGAGCTGCATGATGGATATATGGTAGTTCATTAGGCTGTTCTTCAAACTGCTGTGAATACTGTAAATTTTTCAGAATAAAATATAATAAGAAATATTTATTGAATGAGCTTTGGGTTTTGTGAAGAACTGAAGCTGTGAGTGTTAAAATTTCAACAGCGATGGCACCCCACTGTAATTTAATTTACTTGGAAATTTTAAACTGGTTTGCCTTCCATCTGAATTATTCCTCTCTAACAATGCTAAGAAAGGCTAAGGCCATTTCTTTCTGTTTAATAGAGTAAGAAGAAGAAGAAAACTGATTTTATTCCCTACAGAGATTCTGTACTTACGTGGCTCCTTCGAGAAAATCTAGGTATGTAATCATCTTTTTAAAGGTGTGTAATCATCTTTTTGAAGCTGTTTACCAATTATCTTTGTGGTTCATTTTCCTGTGTGTCTGCTTTTTGAGAAGAATAATCTCTGTGACTAACTTGAGTGATCTTTCTTTTTTTTTCATTTTTACTCTTGATTTAATTTGGTTGAATTTGCTTACCTTAATTTTATTTATTTATTTCTACCAGGTTTTTTGAGATATAATTGACCATACAGAATTGTATAAATTGAAGGTGTGCAGCATAATGATTTGGCTTATATACATCATGAAATGATTATCACAAGTTCAGTGAACATCCATTATCTTGTATAGATTAAACAAATTAAAGAAATAGAAAAATAATTTTTCTTGTGATGAGAACTCAAGCTTTACTGTCTCAACAACTTTCATATATAACATGGTCGTTGTTCAGTCGCTTAGTCATGTCCGACTCTTTGCAACTCCATGAACTGCAGCACGCCAGGCTTTCCTGTCCTTCATTATCTCCTGGAGCTTGCTCAAACTCATATCCATAGATTTGGTGATGCCATCCAAACATCTCATCCTCTGTCATCCCCTTCTCCTCCTGCCTTCAATCTTTCCCAGCATTGGGGTCTTTTTTAATGAGCCGGCTCTTCGCATCAGGTGGCCAAAGTATTGGAGCTTAAGCTTCATATATAACATACTGCGGTGTTACTTATATTTATCATGTTGTAGATTATATTCCTAGTACTTATTTATCTTATAACTGGAAGTTTGTATGTTTGGACTACATTCATCTAATATCTCCTTTGCCCTAACCACTGCCACTGGTAACCACAAGTCTGTTCTCTTTCTCCGTGTTTGTTTGTTTGTTTTTGAAATATAGTTGACCTACAGCACTCTGTTAGTTCCTGTTACACAAAAAGTGATTTGGTATTTCTGTGCATTTCAAACAAATCATCAATAAGTCTACTTGATGATATGTTACCATACAAAGATGTTATGTATTTATTCACTGTATGTTCCAACTGTACATAGCTGTCTTTATATGTGGATTATTTTGAATTATTGATCTAAGTTCATGCATTTTAACAACCCAGCCTTTTTACTGCTCCTCCAACTCATGTTTAATGTTTTAACATTGTATTTTACATCTTTTGTTTTGTGTATCCCTTAACTCTTTATTGAGTATAGAGATGATTTTACTACTTTTGTCTGTTAACCTTCCTACTTGCTTTATACATGACTGATTTACTACCTTTACTGTATATTTGCTTTTACCAATGAGATTTTTCCTTTTGTAGTTTTCATGTTTTTAGTTGTGGCCTTTTCTTTTTTACTTAGAGAAGTCCGTTTGACATTTCTTGTAAAACTGGTTTGGTGGTGCTTTTAGCTCTTGCTTAAATGTAAAAATTTTGATATCTCCATCAAATCTGAATGAAAGCCTTACCAGCTGGAGTATTATTAGTTATAGGTTTTTCCCTTTCATCACTTTAAATACGTCGTGCCACTCCCTTCAAGAGAGTTTCTTCTGGAAAGTCAGCTGATAGCCTTATAGTAACTTGTTTCTTTTCCCTTGCTGCTTTTAATATTCTCTCCTTATCTTTAATTTTTGCCATTTTAATTACAATGTGTCTAGAGTGATCCTCTTCATGTTGGTCCTGTTTGGGACTCTCTGTACTTCCTGGATGTCTTTTTTTCTTCCCCAGGTTAGGGAAGTTTTCATCTATTACATCTTCAAATGTGTCCTCTCCCTCTTCTCCTTGGGCAGCCTTGTGTTCGTACACTTGTTGTACCAGGTGTCTCTTAAACCGTCCTCATTTCTTCTTATTTTTTTTTTTTTTTCTGTTCAGCCTTAGTTATTTCCACTATTCCATCTTCCAGCTCTCTGATCCATTCCTCTGTATCATCTAATCCACTGTTGACTCCTTCTAGTGTTTTTTCATTTCAGTTCTTCTTCTTCTTTTTTTTTTTTTTTTGATTCTTCTTTATATTTTCTAACTCTTATTAAAACTTCTAACTTCTTACTCTGTTCATTTAGTCTTCTCCCGAGTTCTTTGAACATCTTTACAATCATTACCATGAACACTCTGTTTGGTAGATTGCCTTTTCCACTTAGTTCTTACAGGGTTTTATCTTGTCCCTTCATTCTGAACATGTTTCTCTGTTGCCTCATTGTCTTAATTTGTTGTTTTTATTTGTATGTATCTGATAGGTTGGTTATGTGTCCTGGCCTTGGAGAAGTGGCCTTTTGTAGGAGACGTCCTGTGTACCCCAGTAGTGCACTTCCCTCTGGTCACCAGAGCTGTATGCTCTAGGGGTGTCCTATGTTTGGGCACATGGGTCCTTCTGCTGTGGCAGGCTGGCTGCTGTGGGAAGTCTGGGAGGTGTGGCTGACCCCTGTTCTGGTTGGTTTCCAGGCCCTGCGTTGTGTGGAGGCTGCCATTCATTGGTGGGTGGGGCTGAATTCTGGAGTGGGTGGTTCCAAGGCTGGGGGCCTGGATATGTTGTCAGTCTGCTGGCAGGCAGGGCCAGTTCCTGACAGGATGCTTGCAGAATCTGGTGTCCCAAAGCTGGTGTTGGTGTGCCAGTGAGTAGGGCTAGGTCCTGGAGTAGTTGCAGGGTCCAGGGTGTCTTGGAGCTGGTATTGGTCTGCTGGCAGATGGGACTGGAGCCCAGGACATTGTGGGGCTAGTGCCAGCCTGTTGGTGGGCACAGCTGGGGCCCAGGGTCTCTTGACTATAGGGCTCTAGGGATCCTTGGGACTGGGGCTAGTGCCAGTGCACTGGTGTGAAGTGGGACGCAGCTCCTGGCCACTCAGGTAGACAGGACTGGGTGGCTGTGGGTTCTGGGGTCTTAAGAGAGCAGACCTGCTGGTGGGTAAGGCAAGTCCTAGCACTCATCAGCTAGACGGAGAATTCCAAAGTGGAACTTTCTGTACCAGTGTCCTTGTGGTAGAGCGAGCTCCCAAAATTGGCTGCCGCCAGGGAGCACTCCTGCCTCTTGTCCTCCAGGTTCAGCCTAGGGGTCTGACCCAGTCTCCTTTCAGGTTACTGCCTCTGCCCTGGTTCCCAGGGCACATGAAGTTGTGTGTGTACACTTTAGGAGTGGAGTCTCTCTTCCCACAGCCCTCTGGCTTTCCCAAAAGTAGGCCCCACTGGGCTTCAAATCCAAACTTTATGGGGGCTTATCTTTTTGGTGCAGGAGCCCATGCAGAGCTCGGACCCCTTGCTCTTTGCGGAAAACCTCTGCAGTTGTAATTATCCTCATTTGGGGCTCAACCACCCAGGGCTGCGGGTCTTGACTATTCCATATCTCTGTCCCACTTACTTGTCTCCTTATGATTCCTTCTTTGGTTTTAGGACTTTTCTGCTAGTTGTTTGATTTTTCTTACCAATAGTTGCTTTGTAAATAGTTATTTTGTGTGCCTGTGAAAAGAGGTGAGCTCAGGGTCTTCCTGCACTGCCATCTTAGCTAACAGAGTAGCCAAGATGCTACTTTTAGTGAGCATCTTTAATATCTTTCCTGTGATATTATTGCCCACCTTTAAATCAGGGTTTGCTCCCATGTCTTGTTTACTTCGGGATGTGAACTGTTGAGTAGTTGTTTATCTGACCACACACCTACTTCAAACTGTTGTTCCTTTTTGAAAACCACATGCTCCTTTGAGAGGCATGTAATCAGATATAACTCCTCTTTGCTGATGTTTTTGGATCTTTGTACCTGTCGTTCACTGTTCTTTTTCTTGATAAGGAGGGAGTGATTAGCTGTGTTACATGTTGCTGATATAAGGAAGTGGCTGAGAATGGCTATTCATGTCACCAGTGACTTTCATATCATCAAAAGTGGCTCTAGTGGAGTGTCTAGGGAAACTGGACACAGTATATCCAGATACCAAGATTTACTTGTAACCATGCCTGGCTTGGGACATTTCAAAAATTTACTGATTAAATCTTAGAATCTGAGGTTTTGCTGTCTGATTTGACACATTCAATGAAGTTTTTTTTTATAAAACAAGTATGATTTGAGATAATCATGATTCATCTTTTTAGGTGGCAATTCTCGGACTGCAATGGTTGCTGCTCTGAGCCCAGCTGATATCAACTATGATGAAACTTTGAGCACTCTGAGGTATTCCGTTTGATCTCAATAGTTAATGAAAACACAGTGTTCTCCGTAAGTCTTCTTGTTAGGCCATGGGTTGTCTTATGCTATGTGGGTAGTTGCTTGAGTAAACAATGACCCATCCCTTTTATAACAGGGAACACACACACACACACACACACACACACACACACACACACACACACACACACACACACACACACACACACCTGTTTATACTTTTCAGTTTCATTGAGAAAAGCAGGAACTTTTTCATAGGAAAGATATTAAATTTGCTCTAGTGAGATTTTTGGGTAACTTTTAGATAATAGTAAAAACTTCTTACAGTATTTTCTATAAAAAGAAGTGTCCCTGGGGGATCAGGATGGGAAATACATGTAAGTCAAGTCCATGGCTGATTCATGTCAATGTATGACAAAAACCACTACAGTATTGTAAAGTAATTAGCCTCCAACTAATAAAAATAAATGAAAAAAAATAAGAAGTGTCCCCTTCTCATGTTTGTCCTTATAGAAGTGCTCACTCACATCATAACAAATAATAAAGTTATGAGTACATGTAATATTTTAAAAATTACTGACAGAATGTTCACTAATAGGATAGTTTTGTATTTGATTAGGTTCTATTACATTAATCTGGAACTTTCAACTCTTCTCTTCGCAAAAACATTTCTGATATAATGGAGAAACACTATAGAGTCTAATAAATTAATTTTGATATTTATTTCGATATTAGTCTCTGATATTTATTTCCTTTGTGATCTTGAGGAAATCACTTAGATTCATTGGAGCCTTTCCCCACATCTTTATAAGATACTAAAAATAATGCTTTCTACAAATGTATTTTTACTAAGGCTCATAAAATGTGTAAACACTCAAGCTATTTTTAGAAATAATGGTATGTTACTTATGAGAAGTAGAACATTTAAGGAATGGCAAAAATGTGTCTTCTTTTTGGATCTAGATACGCAGATCGTGCAAAACAAATTAAATGTAATGCTGTTATCAATGAGGACCCCAATGCCAAACTGGTTCGTGAATTAAAGGAGGAGGTGACACGGCTGAAGGACCTTCTTCGTGCTCAGGGGCTGGGAGATATTATTGATAGTAAGTGAATTAAGGACCAGCACAAAATCTATTCCTCTCTAGGGCTCTTAAACTTAGAGTTAAGGAACTTGATGAAACTTGATAACAAAGAGTTTTTTGGTTTTTTCTTAACCTTTTAAGAAGTCCATTGAGAGTAGTTCCCGGGTGGCACAGTGGTTAGGATTTTTGGCTTTTACTGCCATGGCCCAGGTTCAATCCTTGGTCAGGGGAACCGAGATCCCACAAGCTGTGCAGCACACCCACCCCAAAAGCTCTTTGAAAATGATCTCAGAATTTCTTTTATGTACCCATGTATCAGGTTTTGAACTCATGAAATTACTTTTTAAAATGTTACATATCATTACTTACACTTTTTATTGGATTTCTATTTTAGATCAGCAGTGAAGTTTATTTGGAATGTTAAGTTTATTCTCACTGCAAAATTAATCACTTCATAAAATTGTTACTTCAATTTTTTGTTTTTGTGTTTTGGGTTTCTTTGGATTAATGAAGTAGTAATACTGAATATATTTGTAAGAAACCCACCATTCCAGTCTCCTTTCAGATAAGATTTACCTTTGAGTGGTTAAATGCCCCCCAACTCACTCCTTATAAACTTATGAAGGGGCAAATAGCCAAATCCTGTCAAGTTCAAGAATTAGACTTCCAGAGAGTCTGTAAATGTTGTCTTAAAATGACTCTCTAACCTCAGTGATCTGCCTACAAAATGTCTAATCAGAAGTTCTCCTGAGGGAGTTAACTAGAATATTCAGTATAATAGTATATGAGTTTACTTAATAAAGCATATTTTTATTTTTTGAGTTTCAGATTAATATTATTATTTGGCATTCTAATAAGATTTTCAAGGCCTCTTCTAGTTTAGTTCTTCTTACTGATTAACACCTGAATTTAAATGAATACATACAGTTTGTAAAATGGTAGTATGTTATTCTAAGTGTTAATTATTTTCAGCTTCCCAAATTCCAAATACTGCTCTGTTCCCTTTCTATGTCACTGCTGAACCTGAACTTTGACCCTTTTTGTATTTTCCCTCTTGCTTACCTTCAGTTGATCCATTGATCGATGATTACTCGGGAAGTGGAGGCAAATGTGTGTATCTCATATATTGGTGGTTTCCAGTACTCTGACTTGCTACTCTGCCTCTGCTGGATCAGCCTTAAGATGAGCTTTGCATGTCAGTGATCCTAACAGGGAAATCCCAGACAGAGCATAGTAGATTCAGAAATTATTCCTATTTTTGTCCTTTTCCATTAGCAAAGCAGACTGCTGAGTTTCAGTTTGTGGCTTGAATTAGGTCAAGAGACTTAAAAACCTCTTGTTGCTTTACTCTTTAGTTTTTCCACTTTGGTTTTGTTTGATTAAGTTGAATCCAAACTCATAGATGGTGATGGTAGTGATGACAGCAGCTCACATGTATTGAGTGCTTATAATGTGCTAGGACCTGTTCCAGGTATCTTGAATATATTATCTCTTTCAAACCTGTCAGTGACTCGCACAGAGTTCCTTTTTTGCCCATTTTGCCAGCGAGGACACTGCTGCCTGGAGTGGCTAATTTGCACTAAATGAGATCCCGTGGTTTCTATGTGGTCAGACTGGATAGTGTAACTAAGAGCCCTCATTTTTAATCATTATGGCACCTTTTTTGGCCTCTTGATTCCTCACGGTCTGATTACTTTTTAGAAAAATCCTTTTAAAATAGCTGTCTAACTCTGAGCCTTAGTGTGTATATAATTGAAAGAAGTCACTTCTAGTTGGCCAAATCTCTGTGCTGGAGTAGCTCTGTGATTTTGGATTAGCACTCACCTGTGCTTATGCCAAGCGTATTTCCTACAGATCTTGGACCTCAGCTTACTTGATGATTAGGTAAACTTTTTTCCTCATTCATGAATTACAAATTAAATTTTTTAAAACTTGGGTGTCAAAAATGTGTGCTTGAATGAGGACTTTTTATAAAGGGATCACACCTCATTACTCTCTCCATATCTATCACCCTTTAAAGCTAACTCATAAATGAATAACTCATAAATAAACGAAGAATCTTGATTTGGGGGTGATTCAGTTTTAGATTTTTGTTGGTTTGTTTGGTTCTATGGGAGGTCATGTGACAGGGCTTGGCAGACACAGGAGAAGCTCAGTGCAGCCCTGGCTGCTGTCTTGAGTTTTGGCCTGAAGGGCCTGTAATGTCCTAACCCACAGCGACTCTTGGACCGGAACTGCTCTGTCTGAGATTTCCGAAGCCAGCTGGTTCTGGTGTGGGAAAGACATCCTTTGTTCTTGCTTTTGTGCTGCAGGTGCTGCTGCTGCCAGCTAGTTGCCTCACTTTTTCTGAGCAGTTGTGACATCTCCCAAAAAGCTATGCATGACTGAGTTTTAATTCTATGTCCGTGCAAGAGAGCAGCCTTGACAACTGAGTTTCCATTTCAATCGCTGCACTTAATGCCTTATAGGACTTGCATGTGTCAGCTGGACCTTCCATCTTGTTCTTCCCTACCTAGCTGCCACCACCCAATGGCTAATTTTTTGCAACAGTTCCTACGCCCCTCCCTTTTAAAATTTGCTTGATTTCCTATGTTCTATTTTTGCAGATGGTGGTTCTCAAACTGTCTTGAAGCAACCACTGGTTTTAAGGGGATTTAGGAACTGGCTTTGATTAAGTTCATGTGGGATAGACTCAGAGAAAGCTAATAATATTTTTTCTGACTCTTTGTATTGACTCATATCCTTTAAGGAAAACTTACTTAGTTTTGATAGGAATTTTGAGCAGTGTAGATTTTCTTACATATAAACATGAGCTAATTTAAAAATAAGAACGCACCAGTACCTATGGATTTCCTCTGGTGCCTACTGGAGAAAGATGACTTATGAAGAAAAGTTCAAATGGCAGTTTAATGAATTTGTTGTTTGTGGCCCTTTTTACCAAAACTAAGTTTAAAAGCGAAACTTAGAATTCTGTTAAAGACTTAAGTAAATGAAAGTATCTCCCTAAAACTTGCATATCATGCTAGGAACTTGGCTTCCCCAGTGACTCATGGTCATTTTGTTAGGCAAAGTGAGAGCCTTATTTAAATTAGTAGATAATCAGCCTTGATTTTTGCTTGCTCCAGTAGATGAATGTGAGCAACACCAGATTTAATAATTTGCTCATTATTCACTCATTGTTCATCCCTGTTGAAGTAATTAGCCCTGAGTTCTTAGCCAGGACTTATACAAGACTCCTGTAGTTTCTGCACTTACCTCTTCTTTTTTTAAAAGGTATATTTAAAAAATCCTTGTTAGCATACAAAGAACACTACTAAATGCTCAGATTTTTGTTTTAATGTAACATTTTCTCGGGAGTTTTTCCTGAGTCCCATAAGATACTGGGCCAGGCTGATATGTATTGATACTGACAGATAAATGATCATTTTTTTTTTCCTTTGCTGTTAGAACTAGTGGCATTTAACAGTTGTGTAAACCTAAGACATTACAGATTTGGAGCCGTGGATGGGATGGAAGGCAGGTAGCCTGGTTGTGTAGGGACAGAGCTTCAGCAGTGTCCTTGGAGGCTCTGTGTCCCTCTACCAGATGCAGTGTTAACCCACACTGGACTTTCTAGTTTCTAAATTCAGGAGCAGTTCTTAACCTCTCCAATGCCAGTATTAAAAACAAGACAGTCGTGTTTGAGAACTGCCATCTGGAACAATTACAACTTGTCTTTGTATCATAACTTGTCTTTGTCTTGCCGCTTTAATGCTCTCCTTTCTTACACTGGTGTTCCTTCCTATCTTTTTTCTTCTTCTGCTCCTTTTCTACTTTTTCTGCCTTCCCTTCTTTCTATCTCCTAGATCTGAAAGATTTTCAGAACAATAAGCATAGGTACTTGCTAGCATCTGAGAATCAACGTCCTGGCAATTTTTCCACAGCATCCATGGGGTCCCTTACTTCATCTCCATCTTCCTGCTCACTCAATAGTCAGGTGGGCTTAACATCTGTGACCAGTATTCAGGAGAGAATCATGTCTACACCTGGAGGAGAGGAAGCCATCGAACGTCTGAAGGTAGGTAGTACCTACTCAGACTCAATGGAAGGTATTCTGTGTCATTCTACAAGGCAGGGTAAGGACGAGAAACCATTGATGTTGGTTCAGCACATGAAAGAACTTTCTAACTCTCAGAGGTGTCCTGAAGTTACTGCTTTGTAAGGTGATTAAATTTCTTTTCACCAGAATGCTTGAGTCTGACATGGCTGGGCAGAGATGGGAGGGAGAGTTGCGTGTGCAGGTCAGAGGTTGGCTAGGCAAGGTAGCTGTTAAGTAGGTGTGTCCATCCATCATGTCCATAAGTAGATATGTCCACAGTTTATAAGTCATGGTGAAATCATTTACTTAGAAATTTCATTGGAAACTAATTAACATTTGGTTTCTTTGGAAGATGAAATTCTGCAAAGTGCAGAATCTGCTTCTGTTAGTAAAATATGTAATCCAAAGAAGGTTTGCACATTTGAGTAGCTATACCAGCTTTAGTCAGAGACACATGAAATTATATTTTCTGGAAGCTTATAGAAAGCCCTGTGATCTCTGTAGTGGAGGGGCTGCCCCTCCTGTGCACATGCACACAGGTCACGGATCTCAGTGCTGGTGCCATGTACTGGAGTCCCGTGTGTGCAGGTCACCCGCCATGCCACCCAGCAGCTGACTCTTTGAGGTACTTTCTTGTCTGTCTCGGTGGATATGAATGTTAATCCCCCTCTGTGACTACAACGAGAGCAGACAGTTGTCACCTGTGGTGCCATCCATCACATCATCGTGACAGCAACACAAATGCCTTTTCTTTCCCTGCTTGTCACTTCCAGGATGAGAATGATCTATCCCTTGTGGCCTTTGTATTCAAGAGACCAGGGTGGGAAACGCAAGGAGGGCAAAGAAACTGTAAGGAGCTGGGGGGTTGCAACCCTGTGCCCAGCGAGCAGTCCTCGTCCCATGCACTCAGCATTCTTCACCGTGGCTGCTCATTCAAGGACCGTGGAGAACAGTGACACACTTTGACAGGTTAACAATAGAAAAAGTTTGCTGAACCTTTTTGCTAAAAGGGAGTTTAGCTTGATAATTGTTGATGCTTTTATTTTGGTTTGCAGATGAGGCTGCAAAAGATGTTGAAGAATTGACTTCTGCCTCTCAATCAGCCTACCTTTTCTTTGGCATTTCAGTCACTTCTAACACAAGATGCTTCAGAAACAAAAGTTATGATCTTGCTGCTTCCTTCAGGATTTATTAGTGGAAAGGGGGGATATTCTGAAACACCTGACAAAGGGACAGGGAATAAGAAATCTTTTCATTAAATATTGCAAAGAAAAGGATAATTTCTGCTATTGTAAAATGACTTTGGAATTTTACTGAAAGTGTTAGTGAAAGCCTATGCAAGAATTGCTTTTTGTTTCTGTATTTTATCACAATAGGCGTCAGTGACAAAGTTTCTGTGCAGGGTTCTCTTCAGGCCAGTGGCAACATGCAGGGATTCTGTGGAAGGGAAAAATGGAATCTGTCATTTATTATAAAATGTCATTTTTCTTTGGGAATTTGGAGTCTTACTATTTGAATCTTACCTTAATGTACAATGAGATTACACTTCCTTAAACACTTCTCGATGTATGAAAAAAATTCCTCCGAACTGCTAAATGGAACCAACTGAAAATAATGTTGAATGTTAGGAGTCAAGATGTGGACCAGATGCTTTTAATTGTTAGGTCACCCAGTACCTTCCGCATAGTTTCTAGGGAATAACACTGCCTTTTTTCAAGGAACCCTCTCCCCAGCCTCCCTACTTCCCATGCAAACCAGAACTGTATTATTACTTTTAGCAGAAATAAGTTTCTCTGTTTTAATTCTCCTTTAAACCAATCTAAATGACATTTCCTATTTTTACTAGTTTTAGAAAATAGTTTCTTTATGGTTTTGCATTCAGTCTTGTTTTTTAATGCAGCATGGTAGTAGTGTAAGCACCTTAGTTCTGCTCCTAGTTTGTGACTGGTGAGAATTCCATGTCAGCAGACCTGCATTTTAATATTGCAGGCAGATGACATCCTGTGTTCACAGGGCAAGGCAGTGGTTGTACGATAGAAATGCTTGCAGATTTCTTATTTTGGAGACTGTTTCATTGTTCTGAATGTGAAGGAATGGCATTCCTAAGACATGACACTGTAGGAGAAAAATACTGTAATGGAAAACAGTAATACAGGAGGGTCATTCATTTTCCTAACATTTTATGTCCCTTGTTTCTCTATACTTTTGACTTTTTAAAAAAAGGATCAGTTAGTAGAATACTTTTACACAGGGCATTACTATTGCTTCATTCATTGAATGTCCTGTTTCCATGTGGAAGAGACCAGGGTTACCCATCATAAATACCCTGGGCCCTCTACACGTCTTTGGCAAAGAGAGTAAAATGTAACTGCTTTCTGTTTTTAGCTGCACCTCAAAGTGAGTTGAAATGTTGTATCCTTGACTTGGATTCCAGCTTAAGAAGGTTTTAAATATGTAGCAATAGCTACTAGGTGGTGCCTCTGGTGTTTATTAGTCTGGCATCAGTGTCAGCACTGTGAGTGCCATTGCTCAGGCTCTTAGACTATAAATATCCACAGATACCCATTACAGAAGCACGCAAGGGTAAATGCTGTGCTCGGCAGCCCAAGGGCCCCACACTTGGAGCTGCTCACTCACGAAGCAGGCTGCATTCAGTACAGTAAAACTTATCTGATGGCTTCAAGGAATGTTCCATGTAGTAAGCATTTAACTATTTAAATATCTCAATCTAAACTATAATTCCCACCCCCCCCTCCCCCGGGAAATGTTTCTGACTTATTCTGTGGACTTGTCCGCCATCTTAACTGATCATGATGAAGATTTATTTGTGTTCAGCATTATGAACTGACTTAATAGCCACTGCTGTACAGATAGCCAGACAGACATGATGTGAGATCAAAGGTAAAAGATGCCCGAGCCCAGCATGCCTGTGAGCTTAAAAAATGTTCCTGATGTCACTGTTTTTTCAGGATTTTTTAATGTACAGTACCTCTAGGAAAAAGAACTTTTTTTTTTTTTTTTTTTTTTTGCTTTTTACAGGGACATATATTTATTTGTTTAAGTTTTTATTTAATTTCTTGCAATATTGCTTCTGTTTTATGTTTTGATTTTTTGGTTGCAAGGCATATAGAATCTTATTTCCCCAACCAGGAACTGAACCCACATCCCCTGCATTGGGAGGTGAAATCTTATTCACTGGACCACCAGGGAAGTCCCAGGGATGTATATTTATACAGAGAGACATTAGATAATAAGTGGAAGGATATACATCAAATGGATCACAGTAATCATTGTTGGGCAAAAGAAAATGGGTCCAGATTGTGGGTGATGGTTCAGTTCAGTTCAGTTCAGTTGCTCAGTTGTGTCCAATTCTTTGTGACCCCATGAACTGCAGCATGCCAGGCTTCCCTGTCCATCACCAACTCCCAGAGCTTGCTCAAACTCATGTCCATCGAGTTGGTGATGCTATCCAACCATCTCATCCTCTGTCATCCCCTTCTCCTCCTGCCTTCAATCTTTTCCACCATCAGGGTCTTTTCTAATGAGTCAGTTCTTCTCATCAGGTGGAGTTTCAGCTTCAGCAACAGTCCTTCCAGTGAATATTCAGGACTGATTTCCTTTAGGATTGACTGGTTGGATCTCCTTGCAGTCCAAGGGACTCTCAAGGGTCTTCTCCAACGCCACAGTTCAAAAGCATCAATTATTTGGTGCTCAGTTTTCTTTTTTTTAGTTCTACCAGTTTATTGCTACCAACCCATCTCCCTCCACCCTCGTGCACACATGCTCAGTCATGTAATCCCATGGACTTCAGCCCGCCAGACTCCTCTGTCCGTGGATTTTTCCAGGCAAGAATACTGGAGTGGGTTGCCATTTCCTTCTCCATAGGAAAAAGAACTTTGAAGAGTGTCTCCTTAACTCCTCATTTCTAAAGCATGAATTCCAATTCAGGTTAATCTTAAATTCAGCTTCTAGAATAAGTTATAGGCAGCGCTGGACCCCCATGTGCCAGGCCTGCCTGCAGAATGAATTGGTGACTCAGATTGGAAGCTACCATCCTCTTGGCATCTCTGTTTCATTTATGCTAGGTTTGTCATTTAGCCTTGAAAAAAGAATATTCCTCACTCTTAAGTTATGGTGAGCTATCTCATAGAATATCTTATTTGAAGCCTGTGGATTCTGCCTTAGTTGGAAGAAGGACAGACAGGAAACACAGCCATAGACCTGGCTCTGGAAGAAGTGTGGCCTGAGGATAGTCACTTAGTTTCTCTGTGTTTCTAGAGTGTCTGTGGAATAAGTGACTTTTTCCAGGGCTGGAGTTTTGCTAAATGACACTCAACATTGTTTCCTCAGAGTTTTTAAAAAAATAACTTTCTAGATGACATAAAAGTTGCAGCTTGAAGCTGAATGAAAGAATGAAGGTGTAGTACCTTCCTTAGCCTACTCCTTAAATCTCTTTTCTACAAGGAGGTCTTATTCTGACTTACCCTCCAGGTAGTGAGTAAAATTAGAGAGGTCACACCAGAGTTGGCAGCAAGATGGTAAGAGGATTCCTAGACAGTAACTTGCTTCCTAGGAGTGAGTTTACAGTTGCCCCAAAATATCAGATGAGTAAGTAGCTTTAACAGAGCCAGATAAACCTCAGCTCTGACATGATCCTTCTCTAAAAATAACCAATCAGAAAAAATATGTATTTCAAGCATCTCATGGATCAGTTTGTATTTTATAACTGACATCACTGTGGCTTGTGGACCACAGTATATAAAATAAGCCCTAGTGCAGGTGCTATGGTTTGGGCATTGTGTTATCCTGGGCCTTTGTTTTTGAAGTTGCCACTTAATGTAAAAGTTTCTATCCAACTCTCTTAAATAAGCCTGAGATTCTTACAGGTTATGAGGCCTGCTTGTATTGTACATGCCCTTTGACAGTCATTTGCAGAAGCATTAATGCTTCCCTATTTGAGCTATTGAATAACTTTGGTG